AGGTGCAAGTTGGCCCTGCGCCGTGAACTCTGAAAACCCTACACCCCTAAAAAACAAACTCGTAATCCTGAATCCCGAACCTGCATAACGCATAAGCCTAAGCCCTGGCTTGAAGTGCTGAGTCCCCACAATTAGGCCAGAACCTCAAACCCAAAGCCTTACTACTATTCTGAGGCACCACCACGAAGAGGAACAGCATAAGCCCTAAGTCCTAAAGCACCCAGTCATGGTCTCAATGACCGACACTTTCCTTGCTACAGGGCTGCTCTGTAATGACACGCACAGAAGACCCCAGGCCTGCACCCCTTCCCCCCTCCCGGTAGTTGGGCCCGTGCCTTGAACATTGAACCCTGCGTGCGGAGAACTCACACACCTAACTCCGCCGCCAACAAGCTGAAAGAGCAACGTAACAGAAAGAGAAGAGAGCATCGGTACAAAAAAGAAGGACAAAAAGATGCTGACTACCTACCTACATGAAACCCTGAACCCAATCTGCCGGGCAAGCTCAACTATAGAGCCTATAGAACGGTGCCAAAGCAAACATGACCCTGAACACCGTGACAAACCTCCAAAGCCTGTAAACCTGTAAAGCCTTGAAGGGGTTTAAAACCAAAACCCTACACCCTAAACCCTACACCCCTGTCAGGCGGCCGCTTGGTGGAGGGCGTGCCATGAAATTCGGTGGCCCGGCTGTCGGGTAGCTGGGAGGTGCCATGCCAGGGTACTGGATCCCACCTGAGCACCCACGGTGCGAACTGGGGTTAGGAATTGGAGTGCGGGGGTGTTGGATTTAGGCTTTAGGTGTCTGGGTTTTGGTCTCAAGGGTTGGGTTCGGCGGCGTATCGGGTTACCAGGGTTCAGGGTTGAAGCTTCAGGATTAGGATTCGGGAGTGTCACCGGAACCTCGGAAGGCTTCGATGTTAGGCCTGTCCTGTTTGAAGGACCCCGGGCCACACGAGCAGTAGCTTACAAGTACGGCAACATTGGGGCTGCCATGTATCGGCCCACTGATAACTTTGGCTACGGTTACCAAGTCGCCCTATCTTCCGAGTCAGTTCTAGCCTTTCAAACCGCCCGACTGAAAACCAATCCTCACAGTTTCAGTCCCAGGGAGGGCTCAAGTTCTTGCGACTAACCACTACCTTCATCTGAATAACAATGGTCCCTCAAGGAAGCACGAATTTCCGGCAGCACATCCGATTCAACCATACCCCGAAAAGCTAGTTTCATGTCTCATAGAGGCCCAGGCTGAAATTTCTTGCATGCACCATTCAGCTTCAGGGTCTAACGGGTTTCTGCAGGTTGCCTGGCCCGTATATGCAGGACTTGCAAGCCCCAGGTACGCACCCGCGCTTGACATCCAGGGCCTGGCACCCCGCTTCCATTTTGTTCCCTAACCCCAACCTCTCATACCGAAAACCTTGAACCTTCTAACTCGACCGCCCGGAAATTTGAATACCTTGATCCGTCTACCCGAACAGGAATCTCAACCTTCAAGCCAATGCCAATGTCCCAAACCAAACCCAACCGTCACCACAGAGGTGCCCCCACATGTCTAAGATTAGGATTTAGGGCTTAGGGCATACTTATACGATTTTGGTCTTGGGGTTAAGGTTTCAATATTAAAGAATCGCTGTAAGAAAACTCTAGGAAATAATTTGCTCACCAAGCTCCAACGAAACAGCACCGAACCCTTAGCCTCGCGCTGTGGACCGCTTGGGGTGGGGGCCCCTGTCGCGGAGTTTAAGGTCAGTTTGTGTGATCATCTCGATGGCAGTGATGACTGCACGTAGTGAGAAGTTGATTTAGAACGGGCATTACCGTACTATAGGCGTATAGGTTTTTTTCTGTTGCATCATCAGCTTCGAGTATAGATTTCATCTGCGTCCTGGGATGCAATCTCCGTGTATATTGCATTCTGCATGCTCACACACCTGCAGATGTGTGTGTGTGTGTGTGTCTCAGCACGCACAGGTATATAGATGTAGATATAGATATAGACATAGACATAGACACAGACATAGACATAAATAGACATAGATATAGATATAGATATAGATATAGATATAGATATAGATATAGATATAGATATAGATATAGATATATATAGATATAGATATAGGTATAGATATAGGTATCGATACTGACCCAGATCCAGATACGGACATAGACGCAGACACAGACATAGATGTAGACATAGACAGGGGACAGGGACATAGAGAAAGATATAGACCGAGAAATAGACATAGAGATAGACATAGACATAGGCATAGACATAGAGATGCAGATAGAGATAGAGATAGAGACAGAGATGGAGGTCGAGACAGAGGTAGAGATAGATGTAGTTATAGACATAGGCATAGAAATAGATATAGACATAGACATAGACATAGATGTAGATGTAAATGTGTCGTTCCGAAAGTGTAGCTATACATGCAAATACAGACATCCATGCGTATCGAAGAGCATACCTGTGCATTGACTAACTTAACGCCATCCTCAGACAAGCTCCGGGCCTACTTAAGACCTAGATCTGGCTTCCTTCCTCGGCAATTCGGCGCGTAGATAAAAAAAGATGTGAGCCCGAGGTGAACGAAAGCTACAACGTCACAAGATCCTAGAAGGTTCCCCCCCGAAATACAAAATCGTAGCCTTTGAAAGCCCACTGCATCCCGCATGAACTCGGAAGAAGCTCTCAGGAAACAACTCCACCAATCACGATCACCCCTTGCGACTTCAATAGGCATAGATCCAGAGACCCTGAACCCTAACCTAGTTCTTGAGAAACAGCAGGCATCCCTAGAACGCTTGACACACCTACGACCCTCCGGGGCCCCGCACAAAGTTGGCAGGCCCAGGCCCAGGCCTTGTCATATCTGAAATTTTTTGGGTCCTATATATATACACATCTATATATATATATATATATGTATAACAGGTTCTTGATGTAGGGTTTGGGAGGGTGAGGGTTTAGGGTGTCCTGCGCTTTAGGGCATGAGATTTTGATTACAGTAGAAGTATGGGTTCCCTTGACGGGCAGCCTGATTCAAACAAAACGCATGGCACGTGCTTGGGGCCATGCACTCTGTGATGGGAGTTGGCTTCATTCCGGCATTTATAAGGCCAAGTCTCAACAAGTCTTCGATGGATTCCGTAAGATGTCATGGGAAGTTGACAAGTGTGTTGAGCAGTAGATGTTAAATCCACTTTTCGGCGGCCTGAGTGATTTTGAATGACGGACGGGTCAATGTAGGGACATTCAGGCAAAGGGCCCGGTAACCCGAAAGTTACCGCAAAGAGCCCAACCCCATTCCTGAAAACCGAACATGCTCTCAACACTAAGGAATATGACAACCATGAACCCCTGGGCCCTAATCCCTACACAACGTGAGACCTTCAACGAATCACTCCATTGTTGTGTCTGCTGAATCCTGAGCTTCCAGATTCATGTGGACGGAACAGTTTGCGGCAGCTAGGATTACATTCCTGGAGGCTAACATCCGGATGCTGATTTAAACTTACTCCCCACTTACGCCATGCCGAGGCTGTCTTCTGACATCCAGAAGGGTTTAGGGTGTACGGACCTGGTTTTCCACATCAATGACATGCTCACCCCTTATCTGTAAGAGCGAACCCAGCTCGCTTCATGTTTTATCTCACCGTAGTTTCCGCAATACTCCACGACTTGACTTCTCCAGAAGGAAGCTCGATGGTCAGAAGGTCAGGGGAACCTGCTCATGTCACTGGTGCAGCCGCAGCTCTTTGTTTATTCCTTGTGCTACTTACTACTGATGATCCTATGGTTGATGGTAGCACGATTGTTATGGGTCTTAGCTGCGCAGCGCAACAACTGGAGAGCGAGATGGAACATACGAGACAATCCGAGTCCGAACCTAAACCCGGCGGCATATTACGTTGACATGAAGCAGGACAACCACGACCGAAGTAACCAAATTGAACAAACCCCCTGCAATTAACTACGGCCGGCATGCGCTAAGGAGAGCAGTAGATGCCCACTTTCGGAAGTTGGTTTGTGGCTCAGGGTTCGTGGCAAAAGGGTTTCCGTCTTCAGCAGCATGGTGCGGGTGTGAAGGACATGCACGAGTAGAACCGCAACAAACACATGAAGCCAGAAGGTTTACAGGCAAGGTCAGCTTCACGCCCGGGAGCCGTGCACCAAGAGGACTTCTCAAACACAGCCGCCTTGCACATGCCCCTGTTACAGCATAATCGTGTTAAAGTACAAATTCAAGTAAGAGCCCAAGTTCCGACGCATGCACTTCAATTCGTTGCTTCTTCGCTCGAAGCGGCATTCAGCAGCCCTGTAGAACTTGCCTTCAAAAAGCCCAACCGAGGTGACATTTCACCCTCAAGCCAGCCTGAAATGCACGAATCGAACTCCGTGTTGTCATCATTCGTAAACGCACTCATCATCACCTTTCATGAGTACTGAGTCCAGTCGTGTAGATGTCTCAAGCTCGGGATAGATGCAGCATCTCTCCGAAGGACGACTCAAATAGTGAAGATTTCGACTCCGGAGATCCCCACGGCAGCACCAGTAGCCCTTGCCCCGACGAAACCACGACCTTTGAGACTTCAGACCCAACACACTAAACCATATTTGGACCTACATAGCCCTCCGGCATAGGAGCTGAAACTCTGCGTTGGGTTGGGGCGCTTACACATGGACAGTATGCAGAAGCCAGCAACTACTCTCCCTCTTTCTCTCTCTCTCGCTCCTTCCTTGCCTCGCTCGCTCGCTCGGTCTCTCTCTC